CTCTCTCTCTCTCTCTCTCTCTCTCTCTCTCTCTCTCTCTCTCTCTCCTTCCTGGTGCCATGTTCCCAGCTGTTTTCCCCTGTCACACTCTTCCTCCATGATATTCTGCCTCAACTTGGGCACACAGCAATGGAGTCAGTCATCTAAGGACTGAGATCTCTAAAACCATGAGTGCTAAATAAACTTTTCCTCCTTAAATTTGTTCTTGTCAGGTCTACTAAAAGCTCACTAAAACAAATACAGAAAATTTTAAAACATAATTAATAGAGCTAGCTGAGATAAGTCCTGCTCCTCTGTACTGGGCACCAGGATTGTGGGTCCATTTTACAGCTCAGGCCTTCTTCCCCAGGGCTAAACTCTCCAGGCCTCTGTGTCCCTCCCTTCCCCCAGAGTGTTTGCAGATGTCATTCTCACTATCTTCCACTGGCTCTCTTGACCCACAGCAGTTCTTTGCTTTTTTCAGGAAACAAACTGGATGAAAGTCCAGGGGCTGGGACTTCCTCCTTGGTGTGTTTGACAAGGACTGACGTATTCTAAGTCCTTTGAATCCCGGAAGTCCAGGACACACCCAGCTTCGATTGCACTGTCCAGAATGCTGGAGTGTAGGTAAAAGGACAAAAGGAAAAACATTTCAGCATGAGGGACCCACTGACAGATTGTTCGGTGAGTAGCTCAGTGGCAGTTTGTGCGCCTGTGTGTGTGTGTGTGTTGGGGGGTAGATTTCTCTACTCCTGGGTGCCAACTTCAGAAATTTGAGACGTTCAGCAAACAAATGGGTTTAGATATTGGCTACAGTACAGAAGTCTGTGGTTTTTCTTTGGTTTGATTTTATTTTTTTTAAAGGCCTTTCTAAGAAATCTCAGTAATTGTCATTTTCATTCTCATATTTGTGGAAGAAGTTTGAGTAAATATATAGCATCATATTTAGATCCAGATGGTGGCTGTTTGGAAAGCAGTCTTAAGATCAATGGTGCCAACATCATGTATGCAGTCGATACAAAAACACACGGAATGTGTGCAGCCAATTTTTCACTTTGGGAATGGAATCAGGGAGGTGGGAGGTTTTGGCGTTTCCCTTCTGTATGGCTTAGAGTTGGGGATCCCAAGTCCTTGCAAAAGGAAGATCGACCCTGCACCCTGTCAGCAGTGGTGGTTCTCAGACTGATTTACCAGCATGGTTGCTTCAGTCCTGAGAGGATTACCAAAAACACAGGATTGGTCAAAAGCCCAAAGACATTATGAGGTCCTTAAGAGCAGTAGCAGATATGACATTGGGGACAAGAAGCAACTTAAATAAAGGGAGGATGTATTTATTTAAAAAATAATCAAGGATTATCAGTGTCTTGACCCAATAAATGCAATATAAATGGTACTAAAAAGTTAAAACTGGTGGCATTGGAAGCAAGGGATTGTAGTCATCTTTCATGTATTTTGTTTAAAAAAAAATGAGGAGAGACATATAATAGGGTTTGTACTAAAGCCATAAAGAAAAGAATCACAGGAGGATTATTGGTTTTCTTCCACAAAATAAATAAGTTCAAGGATCAGAGGACCTAAATGAGATAAACTAATAAATGGCTAGTGAGATTAATAACGATAATGTAGTAGCCAGCTCTGCCTAATTTAGTTTTTAAATATGAAAATAAGACACTTTTAATGTAAAAACCTATTCCAACAGTATAGTTGCATAGAGATGTTAAAAGTTAAACTTTCCCCATTTTGTTACCTCAGCCTGAATCTCCTCTCCATTGGTAATTATGGATGATTTTTCTAGAAGTCATTTATCATTTGTTTATTTTCTGCTCCATGTGTTTGCTCTCTCCCTAAACTGTTAAAATCTCTCATGTCTCAGCATTGGTACCGGAGGATGTTTTGTACTATAAAAGGATGGTAGGGACAGAGATGATAAATGGAAGCAAAAATGTGGCACTAGTAGTCATCAAGGAAGAAAGTTAATGCCCGGTGTCAAGAGAAAAATGTAATAGAAGAGAAGGTAACTGAGGCGAGGTTCTATCAAGTTTTTTTTTATTTAATTTTTTAATTTTAATTTGTTATACATGACAGCAGAATGCATTACAATTCATATTATACATATAGAGCACAATTTTTCATATCTTTGGTTGTATACAGAATCACACCATTCATGTCTTCATACATGTACTTAGGGTAATGATGTCCATCTCATTCCACCATCTTTCCTATCTCCCTGCCCCCTCCCCTCTCTTCCCTCCCCTTTGCCCTATCTGGAGTTCATCTAATACTCCCATGCGCCCCCCGCCCGGAGCCCTATTATGAATCAGCAGCCTTAAATCAGAGAAGACTTTTGGCATTTGGTTTTTGGGGATTGGCTAACTTCACTTAGCATTATATTCTCCAACTCCAACCATTTACCTGCAAATGCCATGCTTTTATTCTCTTTTAATGCTGAATAATATTCCATTGTGTATGTATACCACATTTTCTTTATCCATTCATCTACTGGAGGGCATCTAGGTTGGTTCCACTCTATCAAGTTTTTTTTGTTTTTTTTTTAAAGAAAAGAAAGAAAAAGGAACTGAATGAAGCCCTGGCTTCATTTTGGTGGGCGGTGATGGTCTTCAGGTCAGGACCTGGGAGAAATGTTTTCTTTTAAGCAGCTCTCAAAACATCCCTCGCCTTTGTGTCCATTTAAAGCTTCACTCCCTGAGGTCCTGAATAGTTCTTTGCCCTATTCTGAGCCATTGTGCCAAGGACTCTTGTCCTTATCCACAACTCTGAAGGTCATCTCTGTGGGCCCATTGCCACCAAAAGTATCCGGGAGTCAAGAGGGGGCGGATATCCCTTCAGCCTAGGTTTCTAAACCCTCTAAAGGCAGAGCATATTTATTTATTTGCAATTGTTTCATCTTCATCAAGTGTTCGAGTTGATTTCCTGGTACAATTCCAGCTTGTACTTGGGGAACAATGCTCTGTGAAGATGAGGCCACAGTTTGGGAACATAATAAATAAGGGAACAGACTACAAATGGACAATTCATGAAACACGTAGTTATAAAAGAACCCAAAAGTTTAACCACCTGCAAGATGCCCTATCCCATGAGACCCTAGAGTTACACCGAACACAATTCATTGTCTTAGCTATAGTTCTTAACTTTGGTTACACTAGTGAATTCCTGTATGGATCTCAGTGGGCTACATGGTCTTACATGGGAAAAAAATCTATATTTGTACTGTTTTCTAACTGAAATGTAGGATTGAATTTCCTTCAATTCTAGATATAAGCAACAAACCTCAAAACTACTACCAGGGTCTGCGACTGTGTAACCAAAGTCACAGATATTTTTCTATAACATTACAGTTGTTGCAGCTGTATCTCAGCCTTGTTTGGAAATTTGGTAATTCTTTAGACTTGTTAATTTAGTATTCTAATAAAAAGTGCACATATCACAATCTTAAAAAATGTTTTTATAAATCAATATAGTTTAGTTTTCTTTGTCATCCTGTTATTTTATTTTATGCATTTAAAAATATTATTCTAAGGGGCTGGGGATATAGCTCAGTTGGTAGAGTGCTTGCCTTGCATGCACAAGGTCCTGGGTTTAATCCCTACCACCACACACACACACATACACACACACAGAATCAACTTGAAAGAGCCAGGTCAGCATTTATTTTGAAATTATTGTCACCAGGGTAGTACAAAGATTGACTAAATGTGAAGTAGGGCTTTTAACTGATCTTGAGAGTGTTAGAACTTATTTAAAGAAAATTTTTTAAAGTTCTGCTTTTGAAAAGAAAAAGAATTGGCTCTGGGCCTTGATCCTCTGAGCTTAGCTTCTAAACCTAAAAATATGTCAAGTGAAATCATCTTCAAATCCATGTGCAAGGAAATAGGATCAAATTATCCCCAGACAACAAGCTGTAGCCCGCTTCTTGCTTTAGATGCACTTATATAGTTTCCAGGTAGGGCTGTCAAAGCAAGACTCTGGTCTCCACAAGGCAACCTCTATCCTGGGACCAGGCTGTCCCTCAGGTTGGTGATCAGGTTCAGATGCCAGCTGAGCTTCCCATCTTGGTGGCTCAGCCTAGATCACTGGAGCTAACTCAGAAGCTGCTAGTGCATGGTCCATGCTCCTGAGGGCTTCCGATCCACCCCAGAGATGGAGAAGAAAGGTTGAGTTTGGCATGGCTGTCATGTGGCCCCTGGTATCCCCAGCATGCCACAGTAGATGAGTAACATATGGTTTCACATTTCTTAGGCCCCTGTTTTGTCATCTGTAAAATAAGAGGATTATATCGCATGCTCTTGATAGCCAACCACAGGGATTCCAAATATCACACAGATGGCTAATAAATTAGAGGGGTAGTGTTTTGAAATATTTCCCCCAATGAATCAGCATTCACATTTGTGCCTGGCATGGGAAAGGCATTCAGCAAAAGCTTATTTAATTAAATGTAAGTGGAATATCACGGTTTCTTTAATACCAAAGATCAGCATTATCAACCGGCAAATATTTCCATACTAACATCTAGAATAAAAATAGTTGTCTAGAATAACTGAATTTGCCCTTCTTTATCATTCAAACTGTGGAAAGCTAGAAAAAACAGCTAGGCCAAATTCCATATAGACATTGCATATTTTTTACAAGTCCTCCATCTAATTATTCATGTGCTGATTGCCTAAATTAATCATTAATAAATGGTACTGAAAAGCTAAAATTGGTGGCATTGGAAGCAAAGGATTGTAGTCATTATTCATGTATTTTGGTAAGAAAAAAAACCTGTGGAGAGACAGATAAAGGGTTTGTATTAAAGCCATTTTTTTTGAAAGCCATTTTTTTTTTGTAATGGCAATATTTATGCAACACAATTTGCTCACAAGTGCTGGGCAGAAACTTTTTCTTAATGACTGAATAGTAAATGTCAATGTAGACCAGTTTTCTATGGGAAGATATTCTTCTAGGGCCTTAGAAATGTTCCTAATATTTTATCACCAGCCTGAAATTCCTTTATCAGGGGAAAAAACTCATACATTTCTTTCCTAGTAATTAATGGATGCAGCATGTTAATATAAATTCATATGGAGATGTAAAATTTATATTAGATTTTTTTTCCTGGAGTGCATATTTAAAGGCGGTTGGGTGTCCAGAAGCTTGATGGGAGTAGCCTTCTCATGCTGGTTGATGACATTAAGAGGCCATCTGTACTGCTGATAACCAGGACCAGCACTCTAAGTAAACTTAGTTGATTATACTGATTAGTCATTTATAAAAATATTTGATTCCGATGGGTTCTCTAATTGATTTGCTCATTCACATTTCTAATCCCAGTTCTGTCCTTATCTAATGAGATTATCTTCAGTTCTTTGGGCCCTGACTATAAATAAGTGGACTCTAGTGGTTTCCCATCTGTACTTCATAGAACGCCTTCAGAGAGGGGTGGGATGGAAAAGAGTGATAGGAGAAGGGGAGCCCAAGTCAAAGCAAGAGTTTTCATCCCCTCAAAGCAGATAATTGCCCAGATTTTCTGCTTCAAGTCTGAGTAGATGGTACATGATGAAAGGTACAAAAATGTTCATTCTAAATAAGGAATTCTGCTGAGAAAATGAAAGTGTTCTTAACAACTCTTTTAGTTATGATGTCACTTTTATCACAATCTGGATCAGGGTTTGTTGGGGACTTTCCCACACATTGCACATAGGGTCAAAGATAAAGATTCTCTCCATTGCTGTTATAAACAAGACATCCCTTTCTTATCTGATGACTAAGTTAACAACAACGTAATGTATTGAAAATCTTCCTGGCTTGTGTATACCTGGGTACACCAGAATTCAGGTAATCCCCTCAGCTCTTTGAATTGGCAGAGTATGGCTGAGAGGGTGAAGCCATGGATGGTTTCTCTGCTGAAAACAACCTTGTCCATTTTCCACCTTTTCCAATTAAAAAAAATTCTGTATATGCCATGATGTAAAAAAAAGTTAGGAAGTACTGATCTATTAAATGATAAAAGATCATCCTTCAAAATCTATACCTGGCAGCCCAAGGGCCAATGGTAAACCAAGCTTTGTTTGTGCACCCCATACTTTAGAAAACTGAATGTGAATGCCTTTGGGGATACAGACCACTCTTTGCTTTGCCACAGGCTACCCCACCACCCCTGAAGGCAACTGGTTTATAAATATTTAGGATGGCCTGGCGGCTTGCTTGGTATGTTTGGGAAAGGCAGCGCCCCTGCAGCCACAGCATAGAGGATTCTTAAATGCTTTATTCATTTTTTCTTTGGTTATAGACAAGGTTTGCCCTACATGTCCCCATCCTCACAAGTGATGACCAAGGCTCCCTATCCTCTCCCCAGGACTGTTACAAAAAGCTGTCCTTAGGTGACATGGACCTGTGGATCTTTTCTTAGGCTGTTTTATCTTGGGATTCCTTCCACTCTGAGTTCTCCTGATGGGGGCTCTTTTCCTTTCCCCCTCTGAAGGTCTTGCATCCCTCTAATCTATCTCCCCACTGTGCCTCCCCCCAACCCCAGCCCCAGCCCCAGTCTTATATAGTATTTGAGAGCAGAAAAACTTACTCTATAAGCATAAATCCACATCTCTCTCTCTTGTCCATGGCTCCATGGTTTCTTTTCTAGGCCTTTGCTTCTGCTTTGCTGTGGCTAGAAAAACGAAAAAGCCAGCAGGATCCATAAAAATATACAGCCTAATACTGGGAGGCATTTCTAAATAAATCAAATAAGAAAGTCACAGGGTCTGTAAAGAAAATCATTAAAGTTTATTGAACATGAAATAAGATTTGAACAAATTGAAAGACTATGTTCTTGGTTGGGAAGTCAAAATACTATTTAAAAAGTCTATTTCCCTAATTGATATATAAATGTAATACAATTCCAATTAGGATCCCAATGGGCTTTTTTAAAATTGTAATTAGGTAAATGTTTATATGGAATAACAAATGCCCAAGAATAGCCAAAGAAATTATTTTTAAAAAATAAGAAATACTTGCTCAAAGAGAAAGCAGAAGGAAAATGTTAATATTTTTATAACTTAAGCAGAAAACATAATATGAAACACTACTTTCTACATCATTTTTATTTTATGAAACAGAAATGTTTCATAATTTAGAATCAAAAGCTAAAAGACTGAATTATAGCTATGTTAAGCCGCATAATAGAAAACTCCTAAATAAGAATGACTTTTAAAATAGCTTGTATTTCTCTCACACAGGAAAATAAGTCCCAAAGTAGAGAGTTAAGGGCTTGTGCATTGGACTCCACAGTCATCAGGGACACAGGCTCATTCTCTCTTCTGATCTATGATCTTAGCCCATGATGTTCAATCTCAACACTACTTTATGACATGGCCCATTGTTTTGAAGCCCAGGAAACAGGAAAGAGGAAGAAAGGTCCTTCGCTGAACATACTGACAGATCTGGCTATCCTAGGTCTCATTTCTCCCACATCTTCTTGGACCACATTTAGTCAACATCTGTATACTTCTGAGTGAAGGGGGCTGAGAAATGACTTCATCCTGGAGTATATACCCTGCTGAACACTTACATACTCTCTTCTCCTGGCTTCAACATGTTTTGTGGGATTATCTTACATGTTACAGGAAGAAAATAAAGATTTACGGAGGAATTTAGTGAAAAGGTTTAGGTCATGTAAGAGTAAACAAAATCTTGACTGATTTTCTTTCTTGTGGAATTCTCAAAAATTTAAAAAGCACCAAAACTTTCCCAATATACCTGGAAGTACTTTCCCAGTGTATCTGGAAAGGGAGGAAAAAGCCTTCATAATATCTTGTCAATCATAGAGGGCAGGTTAGTTTAATTGGAAATGAAAGTCAGAAAGTTTGGTTACCAAATTGTGATTTTCTCTCATAATCCCCTGAGGAGAACCATTCCCATTCCATGACAGAAGCTACAAATCAGAACCCCATTACACATATGTTTTGCTTGCACTGCAGATAGTTTTTACATTTGTGAATTGTTTGTTGCAACTTTTTTTTAAATCTCATTTCAGATGAAACTGGACTTCAGTTTTTTTTGAACATACTGACAGATCTGGCTATCCTAGTTCTCATTTCCTTAGGACAGTTATGGCCCAGAGCTGTTCAGATAGTTGTGGCTGCAGCTCATGGGCCCTGCCCTGGCCCGTAGGCATTCAGGTGCCTAACTGGATCCTGCAGGTGCATGAGATTGCAATCCCTGCCTGAGGCTAACAAATTCCCTATACACGTTTTTCTACCCTCACCACTGTCTTTGTTTCAATGGAGCTATTTGCTACTCTAGGTGGAGTATTTCTTATCCAAAATGCTCCAGACCAGAGTGTTTTAGTTTTTTTTTTCAGATTTTGGAATATTTGCATATGCATAATAAGAGAATCTTGGGGAGGAGACCCAAGTCTATACAGGAAATTCTTTTATATTTCATACACACCTCATACATATAATCTAAAGGTAACTTTATTCAGTAATTTTACTGCCTCTGTGTTTTGACTACAACCTGTCACATGAGGTCACCTGTGGAATTTTCCATTTGTGGCATTGGGTTAGAACTCCAAAAGTTTGGATTTTTAAAGTATTTTGGGTTTCAGATTTTCTGAATTGGATGCTCAACCTGTACCGTGTATCTTCTAAATATTATCATAGCTTTCTGTATTAAATTTTGGGGAAAGTTATAGTTAATAGATAGATAGATAGATAGATAGATAGATAGATAGATGCAGATATAGATAAAAGGACTTAGGATCTATAAGACTGTATTGGTTTGTTACATACCTCTATATAGAGACTTAAATCAGGTCATTTTGGGGGTTCTTTCCTCCTCTGCAGCATCTGTTTGATACTCTGCTAGTCCATATGCTAGGTATATTTGTGCCAAGGCTTCTGGGCCCTGAGGGTATCCTGCATGTGACTGCCTGCCATTGACAAGGATCTTAGTAACTATGAATTTCCTTCCCTTTCCCTTTTTAATATGGGGCTCATCTGAATGCTGCAGGCATGTGAGCCCTGGAAGAGGCTGGCTCATTATATCAGCCAAGAGCCACAGCACAGCACTCTATCCACACAGAATTGCAGCCTCTTACATAAAATCATTCTGAAAAACACAATCTGCGATGGCACCTCTGGGTGGAGAGTATAGGAGAGTGTGTTAGAGGCATTCCATCATCTAATTCACCTGTTTTGTGTCACATAAGCTGCAGGGTCAACTGATATTTACCCTCTCTGTTTGGGCACCGCAAATGTGTTGTCATCAATGTCTGCACTTACAAATACAATGTTCAGAATCACATTGTGGAGTTGAAAAACAAATGGCAGAACCTTATTTGAAATTCTTGTGTCTGCAGGCTTAATTCATATAGGAGTGAATTTATGAAAGTTTACTTACAAATTTACAAGGGTTTGGTTCAAATAAAATTATTTATCATTACTATAACATTCTTATTACTAAAGTAAAATAAGATATAGGGGCCATAGAGGGAACTAGGCCAAAATTTTATTAAAAAGTTATTCACTTACATTTTTGTATCTTAGCCAAAAAAAAAGCAAAAACAAAAACAACAACAACAAAAAAAACAACCCTCACTTTAGCTGTTCATCTTTTGCATCCTTTGCTTGTAAGTTCAGGAATATTTTGGAGTTTTGGGGGAGAGGGCACAAAATGATCATGTAGTGTCCTCCAGAATGTATTTTTGACCTTCTTGAAAACAATGAGGGTGACAGGAAACCAACTCAAGTGTACCCCACTGATGAATTGTTTGCACTTGGCCTAGGGGAGAAACAGAGAAACAAAATTTGTTTTTTAAAAGTTCTCCAGGAGAGGAGATTTAATCTTTACTTTAAGAACTCATTCCTCTAGCTACACAATCAATTACATGGCACTTGTCATTAGCATTCTGAATTTATGGGTGCTCTGTCTTTGGAAGAACTCATCATCCTCCTGTTCATCTTTTCTCTTTTTCAGTATAATAAGGTATACAAGAGCCTAAAGGAGTTTTCTCAAAATGGAGAGAATTTCTGCAAGCAGGTCACATCTGTTCTTCAGCAAAGGTACAGAATGCACATTTGGGATGAACAGTTCTTCCTCTGTAGTTGCAGCAAGAGATAGGACCAGAAGAGTGTTTACTGTCCTGCTTTCTTCCAGAACACAGTGTGATAGTTTGGTACTGGAGAGATTGGTTTGAAGAATGATTCTCCTCAACTGGGCATTTATTGACTGGACACCATAAAAATCAAGGAACAACAGGAGGGAATTCTGGTTAGGAAGGCTCAGTCGAGTCTCCTCGGATTCCTCAGACTGAGTTTATCACCTCTTCAGGGGCCCACTGTTGTGTCTGATGTCTATATTGTACTTTTCACACTGATAGCAATGATAAGATTGCATTCTTTGCCTCCCCTAAAAGGGCGAAAGCTGTGTCTCACCGTTTTTGTAAGATGAATTCTTGGAGCCTGTCTCTGATTTCTTTGGTAAATTATCAGATGAATGAATGGATGGAGGGATGAAAGTCATCATTTTCAGTACCATTTTCTCTTAATACTAGGCATGATCAAGTAGCGAGCTGTTCACTGTGCTGAAGAGAACACATTGAACTAAGTCAAAAAAGTAACAAAGGGTCACTGCTTAACGCTGAGAACCCAGGGACTAAGTTGGCTCATAAGTGGTTTTCAGGCCTTTTCCCCACCTATAGGCAGTTCTATAATAAGCAATTCTAAAGAGATCTTTTAGAAGAGATTGCTTATTTTTTAAGGTAAACTTTTTCAATCTTAAAATATTGTATATGTACCAAAAGATAAAGAAGCTGTGGGTTAATTACTTTCTGTATTAGTGGGTCAAGACCAAAAAAGAACATGCACTCTATCAGAACCAAAGAATGAGGCCAAAGAAAGACTTCAAGCACTCAAATGGGCTTTTATTAAAGAAAAATCAGGCTTGTCAAATGGAAACAGAAGGAAAAAGGTTTTAAAATATGGGATTATTTCCATCCTAACAGTCCAACTACTTTGGTCCCTGAAAGGGAAGAGGGGAGAACCCATCTGGGAAGGTATTTCTTTTATAAGAAAACATTTTTATCAGTCTCAAAGGAAATTATTTAAAACAAGACCAGTTAACTCTTCTATAAATTCAACTCATTACTTAGGTTAGACAGCATCTGCCTCCTGCAGATCAGAGAGAATCTGAAAGCAGATTAGCTTTGACCTGGGTTGCCATCATCTGATTTTTATTATTTGGTATCCAAGAGTCCAAAACCTCAGAGAGAGCTGTGAGGACAGAGGCAAGGGACAAATATGCTGGCTGCTAGATTTTTTTTGCAATTGATGCTTTCCTAAACCTTTTGTGACACTAACTTGGTACAGCTGAATCATTTACCCTCAACCGAGATGCCACTTTTGAAGTGCTCTCTACAGATTCCCGATAAATGTACATTTTCAGTATCCCCTGGACCTGAGCTGTCGAGTTTCTTCTCCTTGCTCAGCTGTTGATTACATGGTTAACCTGAGGGATGCTTGTCCACATGGAAGAAGATGGTACTTTTGGAGAACTCTTTTCTAATGAGTTCAAACACCATTAATTTGTGGACATGTGGCACACTGTATATTTTTAGACCGTATTCCTCCATGTCAGTTGAGGGGACAGAGTCCACTTCATCTCCCAGGATTAGATCATTTCTCTCCAACAGAAGTGGTGTGATTCTGGTGACTCCCTCTGCCTACTGTACTTAAACTAACCCCACATAATAACTTAGTCAACAACAAGGTTGACCGGTCATAGCATAGCAGGTATTACATTCACCTTTACTCCCCATTCTGCGATTCAGAAATGGCTTCCTTAGTCATAAATAAGATAAAAGGTGAGTTCCTTCCAGCTGTCAAGAAACAAGCCCCGGGTTTACTTCCTGTTAGGTGTGTGGGTGTATTACAAATAAGTCAATGATACATTTCCCTTACATTAGATAAATACACAGAAAGCCAATAGTCTTTGAAAGAAGCTATCCTGTTTCTTAGGATTTGGGGACAAGTAATGGGAAACACCATAAGACAAGTAAAATAGTTCTCTTAGACATGAGAGAAAATCATGACAGCAAATCCACTAGCCAGCATATTGGAAGACATTAGGAAGTAGCCCATTGGAGCTTTTTTGCACAGAAAATGCATTTAGTAAGTATTTGTAGATGAATGAATAATTATGTAAAAGATTATTAAGGGATTGTATTTTATTATTACTATTCAGACATTATTAGAACAAGATCTTTATTGTCCTTGGAGATTTACATTTCCGAACCCTTTACCTCCGAGTCTGTTGAATGTGGTTCTGGTGGGCAGAGTTCAGTATTAGGATGGAGAAGTGAGAGGCAGCATCACATTGGAGTTGGAAGTGCAGACACTGTTTTCTCTCCACACTCAGCTACCTTCTGGCATTCATTCTAACTAAAGGTGATAGAAAAGTGCAATTGTTATTGAAACCCCATTTTTCTTGGCTATTCTGCTATTCCCGGTTATGCTTAGCTTCTTTTATCCAAGAAATTACTTGGGTTTCCCTTCTGTTTTGCAGTAGCAAACTCAGATTTGGCCAGAGACACACAACAGCTTCTACAGTGCCTAATGCCAAGGTCCTTAAGAGTTCACTGTAATACAATTACAGATCAGATTTAAGGAGACAAAGACATTCCCAGAAACTATGTTTGGCTCCCTTAACCCTCATAGCTAATGTTTAAACAGGCTTTGATGGGAAAATCAATTGTTCCTCTGAAAGGAAGCTGAAGATCAGATTTCCAAATGGCAAGAACCATTGCTGTGGACATTAGAAAAAAGAAAAAATAAGGGGGTGTACTTGGCCATTTATTCTATCCACAAACCATTGCAGATCCTGTTGCCAAAGACATTTAAAAGCCCAAATAACTTCTTTAATAAATCTCACCTTTTCTACCCAACTCATTGTCCTGGGTGCTCTAATTCCCACAGCCTCAGCTCCCTTACATATGGATGACTTCCAAATGTACATTGCTAGGCAACATGTCTGGATGGACTTCAAGACATACCTTCAACATTAGATGGAATGCTCCCTTTCTCCTCAGTGTGTCATGGAACCTCAAAGTTAACCTAACCAAATAGAGTTCATAAATTTTTCTCCAAAGGAGGCATTCCTTTTAGATATTTTACCATGATTACTAGGACCACAGCCTACTCAGTCAAGCCCAGCCCCCAGGGGCCACACCTTCCCATGATTCCTTCTGTCTTAATTCATGACCATGATTTCGTATTTCTCTCTTCTGAACCTCCTTTACATCTATAGTTTTCTTTGGATTTTATGGCTTTCTCCATTGTTCTGGAAAAATTCTTGCAAGCCAGTCTTATGACTGCAGGACAGAGTTACTGTCCTGCAGCTGTGTGGTTTGTATGCTACACAAAGCACCTGAGCACAATAAGCGGAGGCAAAAATGGAATTCACTCTCACCCTACTCTGTGCCATCAGAGGGCTTTTTCTTTTCCTAATCCAGGCAGAGTTCCCTCAATTTGTGGGCTGGCTGACTGGTACCCTATCCCTGTCTCTATGTATCTTCTACTCTGTGACCAGGACCCTGTTTAAGACCCTTCAAAGACTCCCATGACTTTCAGGATAAAATTCAGCTCTCATGGCATTTTACAAAGGACATGTGAGATTTGAGCTCTGCCTTTTATCGTGTCTCTCCCCATCTCCCCATGATCCCCAATCCCCTCCTCCTCCCTGAACTACCTGCGATCTCCTCCTCCCCACTCTGAGTCCCTCCACTGACACCACAGGCAGGTGCCTATATTAGCACAGGCTCTGTCACCCGCCTGATCCATACATCTTCACCTTTATTGGCTGACTCCATTCTTCATGACCCAGTTGTCCCACCGTGGAAGGCCTTGACTCTAGTTCCTAGTCTGAAAAAGTGTCCCCTATTTCTATGTGCACAGTGAGCATTTACCTCTGCTCTATCTTTAACTGTCCTACACTCTTATTCTTTGTTCCCTTCTCTTCCTCTCCCCTTGGAAGCTGAACTCCTTGAGGATCTTTGTGTCCCATGTGACTAGCAGGGTCCTGGCACAGCATAGATGTTCAGTAGATGTTTGCTGAGTGAAAGAATGTGTTAATGTCTGAGCTGCTCTGTACCTTTAGTTACTCATAACTTTCAAGAAGTTAAAGTTAGGCCACTTCTTAGGAGCAATAAATGGTTAAGTCAGAGCCATTTACTGACATCATACTGTACGTAGCCTATTATTTTGAACAAAAGTTAGAAAAAAAATGAAATCATGGAAGAGAACACTCACAGACCTGGCACTGTATTCGAAGTGTCTTGTACTTGATCTCTTTACTTTAGTCCTCACTACCCAAAGTGGCATATACATACTCTTATCCTGTTTTATAGATTAGGTCGTGGCAAAGGTGAGGCATTAGGCTCCTTACCCAGCCTAACCCAGGCTCAGTGCACAGGCCTCTTCCAAGTGGGCAGGCGGTTTCAGGCACTGCTATGGGGGTTCCAACATGATCAGGGGGTCTTGTACCAGTGTGCTTCACAGAGTCATAGGGTCCTCCAGGAGCAGGGACCTCAGTGGTCATCAAGCCCAGGGGCTTTAAAGCCCTGTGGCTCAAAGGATCTGTGAGGAGCCCTCAGCACCTATTTTGGGGGGGCGAGGAGGAAGCTAGGTGGGCAGACTCTGCTCCTTCCTCAGTCCCTCTCCCAACTACTCTACAGCAGCTTTGCCAGCAGTTATAGGATATGCTCCTGTTCAGCATCATATTTTGTTTTGCTAATAAAAAGCTTTGAAAAGTGCCTGTCCTGTCCACTTGACCTGACTCCCCCCACCCCACCACAAGACTTCCTTCCTGCCCCATACACACAGAAACACTCAGCTTGGGAATGAACAGATGTATAGGACTGGAAGTTCTTATGTGTTCCCTGGGTCAGAGAGAGCCGGTAGGGACTTGATGAGACTCTCAGCCTGGACATCCAAGAAGGGCGCCATCGCAGCTCATCTTCCCATTTCACCTTCTTATATTATTCTCAGGAACCAGAATCAAGGCAGTT